GGTTAATTCGGACAATCGACTAAAACGGACACCCTTCCCCCCCATTAGTCCATTTTAACGAGGGTCAACTGTACTTCATTTGATGGATAGTCCGTTAAATAGAGATTTCATTGTACACCATGAATGAAAATTTAGTTTAGTCTTTAAGAAGTGTAAGAGTGTAGGATCGGCAGTCATGTTATGAGAGCCCAGCGGTGGTAAAGATGGCAGTGATAAAAGATGGTGTGTGGGAGGGGGTGAAGGTTTTTACACCAAATACATCATAGGGGTGGTAAGGTGGTGGGGGGGGGCCTAGAGTTTGGCTGATGGGGGCTAGAGAGATAAGAGGTGGCAGATGAATTTGCAAGAGGCAAAAGTTAGATTAGGTTAGGTTTGTTTATGTTAGGTTAGGTTATAAGAGGATAAGTTAGGTTAGATTAGATGGGGAATTTATACATTGTTAGAGTAGTTTAGTACCTATAATACCAAACCGTCGCAATTATACAACTTTAAACTAATATAATCTCTTAGAAGAATTATTATAATATCTCCTCCACATCACCATTACACACTACAGGTGTTTTTCAAAGGTTAATTGGCATAATGAACCTCACCTGTGTGGCTACCTTAATTAGTATTTACATAACGTATTGTAGTTAATTTGACTGTGTAATGAGTAGTGGATAAGGTGTATAAACTCTCACAGGAGTAATGTTAAGTCTCCATTGGGAAGAGTTTGTGTTGAAGTCTACGGACATAGCCAACCATACTTGACTTACTATTTTTTTTAACTTGACTCGTGATGTTAGAGTTTTAAGAATAATTGACTTCAAATACCTTATCTGTTTGAGTTATTAGTGAAATTTGATTTATTATGGACTCGGGTATTTTATATATACAGTGTATATATATATATATATATATATATATTAATTTATGTGAAATGTGTAGGTTTAATACAGATGTTTGTGTTTTGTCGAGAAGAACAGTTTTTATGTTACTCGTGTATTTAGTTTTAGAGATAAATGGTTTCTGCTCCTTGTATCCTCACACTTGCTAGTGCAGGAGGACGATAGTGTCTTCACGCTTATTGCCGCCAAATGTTTAATCATCAGGTGAAAATACAGTGAGTTCTGCTATAACGCGTGTTTTGATAACGCGAATTTGCTCTAACGCGATTTATGAATTCGGAACAATATTTGTATAACGCGATCGCTTGTTTGCTATAACGCGATTTTTGCTTACTATTTCTCCAATTTTGTGGTATTAACTGTGAATATGGTAAAGAAGAATATCTCCAAAAAGCATTCTGATGATAGAATTCCCGGTGATTATCGTAAAAGAAAGGATATAACACTTGAAGAGAAGCTTGATGTTATCAACCTCAAAATCACCCTTCTCCCCATCAAGTTACATTCATATTTTTTCAAGGTAAAGTGTTAAATTTACTGTATGATTTCATTATTAGATATGAATGTAACATTTATTTAGACTGTGCTATCCTTTGTGTTAGGCTAACTACTAAATTTTTTCGATTTCGAGTAATCTGCACCTAACCCTATTTTCTCCATAAGCCCTGTTATTTCTATTACGCGATTTTCTATAACACGATATTTTACAAGAACACAATTATCGCGTTATAGCAGAACTACCTGTATGCAAAGGTGTGACTAATCTTCAATTGATCCTTTTATAATTACGTAATGACTAAAAAAACACAGCTGAATTAGTAGATAAACAGAGAGGCTACTGGAACCTCTGATAACCAAAGCCCAATTTTTAAAGCTTGTTAGTTAATATTTACATCATGAGAACAAACACACATACACATCTACTGATATTCCAATGAGACAAGCAGACGCGATCACACTGTTACTCGGTTTTGGCCGAGCTGGTGACGATATTAGAAAATTCATACAAGATATACTGTAGATATGGAAATGACGTCTAGACATAGGTTAAGTATGATCGAGGATGAATATAACGATACTCTTTTGTTTTAATTTAATAGATGACTGGAATATGCTGGTGGGTGTAGTGCTGGGAGGGTAGTGGTGTGGGTGTAGTGCTGGGGTGTATTGGTGGGGGTGTAGTAGTGAAGGTATAGTGAGAATAATGATATGGCGTAGTAGGTTTAACAAGTGTAATGATGAGGTTTAGTGAGCGGTGTCGAGGTGTAGTGAGAGATGGAAAATGTGCATTATTGCCCTGACAGCTTCACCTGACAGAGAGACGGGAATAACAACTGTCAGAGTACTTAACCCACGCGATTGTTCCTGTACTACTTCCACTTAAGGACTGTTTCTGAAAATTTACTCAAATCACATGTCAGTTGTTGATAAAGCTTCGAATACATTGCTTGCACACACACACACACACACCTACTTTGCTGTCACTCAGAATCGAGTATAACGATCATCCAGCTATGAGACAATGATATGAGTTATTAGGGATGTCACCTTCATTTGTGAGTTCTGAGGTGAATAGAGAGGCCGATACGAGCCAGGGCGAGTCGTCCACAGGTGTTGCAAATGTGGAGGGCTTCATCTGCTGCGGGAGGGGCGGCGGCAGCGTCTTTCCGGCGTTGGCGCTTGTCTGCCTCGGCTTGCAATCGGGCTAACTAGAAAGTATTGACGCATTCTTGTGTGGTGCTCCTCCGAGTGTTATGTTGTGGAGTGATCATCTTCCAGGTGAGGGGGTCGATTTGGCACCTTTTCAGGTTTGTCTTAAGACTATCCTTATACCTTTTCAGTTGCACGCCAGCGTTACGTTTACTATTCGTTAGGTGACTGTAAAGTAGCTGCTTCAGTTAGCCTGCCACCCATCACAGCCAGCCCAAGTCAGTGATAGTGAGGATATGGACTTTGAGGGGTTTGACAAAGAGGCCCTGCTAGCCTCTGTCGTGGATAGTGATACAAGTGAGGGCCAATAATCTGCCCTCTGCCTCGGAACCAACCCCTCATCCCTGTGTGCCCAGTCATCTCTTCTACTAACGTAAGTGTTAAAAAACCTAATATTATTGATATTTCTCTTAAATATTAATTGTGTGTGAATACCATCATAAAATTAAGATGTTATTTTTACTACAACGTACGTATTGTCGGAAAAACAGTAGTCTGGGGGTCGGCCCAGTCTCTATTTCAATTAATCCCATATGTTCTGTTATTTTGTTTACGCGTTTCTCGTTTTACGCAGACCTCCACGGGTTTAATTGACCGCGTAAACCGAGACTATACTGTACAGTATAGTATATATCCGGTGCCTACAGGTGAGCTCAGGTTCTCAACTGGCTCAGCCAAGTTAATATTGTTATTATTCACTGTATCTGTGTTTTTCTGGCTAAATAAACTGTTTCAATTCAATTCCGTCAATTAATTCTATCCAAATTGCTACTCCGCCTCCTTTCCTAATCTGCCTATCGGTATGGAATAATTTGTAACCTGCAATTTGGTAGTCTAGGTTTATCCATGTTTTGGTGAATGCTATTACAGTGATCCCTCGGTTAACAAACGCCTCGGTTAACGAAATTTCGGTTAATGAATCGGTTAACGAACAAAAATTTGGTTAACGAAATTCTTATGAAAACATGTTTTCGCTTGCTCACCAGCTGGAAGATTAGTCCGCCAATACAGTAATCGGTTCTAGGGCTTAAATTCATTCCCATTTGAGTAAATATCAAGAAGGTTGTGCTATTAAATATTTTTCCAAGTTTTATATTAAAATTATTAGTCATTTTAACACTTATTCAACATAATTTTATGGTGAAATGGCGACGTGAAGTATGGGGTGACTTCTCATCCACCCCAATGCATTCTCTTCTCCTCCACCCCCATTCTAATTCCCATCATCATCAACCAGGAGCCTTCTACATGATACCTCAAAGTAAGTGTACTTCACTGCATTTATTTTTAGTTTGTATGTAATTTTCGATTTTTCCCAACATGTTTTCACCTGCTCACCAGCTGTAGTATTAGTCCGCCAATACAGTAATTGGTTCTAGGGCTTAAATTCGTTACCATTTGAGTAAATATCAAGAAGGTTGTGCTATTAAATAATTTTCCGAGTCTTATATTAAAGTTTTTAGTCATTTTAACACTTATTTAACAAAATTGAAGTACTGTACAGGGAAGTAGTTTTTGGTGCGTCCATCAGCCACTTCACTCGCCCACCAAGGAGGAAACATCTTGCTTGTGGGTCTTTTGAACACAGAGTATTTTTACATTTTTAAAGTACAATTATTGGTCATTCTGAAATTTATTTAACATATTGACAATATATAGTGCAGTGCAGTGTTGATTTAAAGAAAATAATCTTGAATTACACCAAGTGAACTTAAAATTGCATGGGGTGATTTCTCATCCATCCCCACTTCCTTCTCTTCTCCCTTCTCCACCCCCACTTCTAATTCTCATCATCATCAACCAGGAGCCTTCTACATACATCTCAAAATAAGTGTACTTTACTGCTTTTTTTTTTACTTTGTATGTAATTTTCGGTGAGCTGGAACCAATTACCCAAAATCCCATTGAAACAATGGTTTCGGTTAACGAACGACCTTCTGGAACGAATTGTGTTCGTTAACCGAGGGACCACTGTACTGTAATGATGTGCATTTGGGGCACAGAATCCCAATTTTTCCGACTTCCCTCCCAAATATTTCCAAGTGAGTCGAAGACAGCTAAACTGTAAAATACTAAACTTAAAAATCGTGACGTGAACGATCATTAAATGAAGGATACCTGTACAACAAATTGCTAATATTTGATCAATTAATCTTAGATTACCAGCGAAGTTTTAAAATAAAGTAGCTCTAGATTTTTTCGTAAGATATGGGATACATAATGTCATTTAATGCAAAAAAATTTTTTTTTACAATAAGTATAATTGTAAAGACACTAAATGTTCCAAACAGAAAATCGGGTTAAATCTTCTGTTACAACACCCAGTAATTACAGGTATATATAACAAAAAATATTATATTGATTTCATGAGATGTTGGGAGTATTTATAAAAACAATGGGTTATTTTTGTATTTGTCTATTTTAGCAATACTGTATCTAACCATGGAAATCAAATTTGACAGATAAATATTAATTTTTAATGATCCAACGAGTTTTGTCACTGTGCTAAAAAGTAAGTCTAACAAACAATGGCTGACTGGGTGGGGAGGGGGAGCAATGTTCTATTCAAATGGCTATTTACTTTCATACATTATTTGTACTGTAAATACAAAAAGTATGTCTGCATTATATGTGAAACTGTAGAACACAATCACTTATTATTCATAAAAAAAAAAGTTGAATTTAATGCTAATGGGAATATTGTCCTCCCTCTCCAGCAGTTGGTCCTCTGGATCCTCCCAATTATGTAATAAATAAATAAATTATTAGCACAAGATTATTCTTTTGCTAAACAATTGTACAGAAACGACAACTAACCATTACCATATAACGCGACATTAAAATCAATTGTGAAACGGTTGAAAGTAATGAATATACTCTAATATAATGACTTAATCAAAATGAATAAAATGTTTTATCATTTGTGACATTCCAATTTTAGTGAAAATTAACATATCATAAAAGTTTATTTCTACCGAGCATGAAAATTTTCTAAGCCACCTGTGTTCAGGATTTTTACTCTTACGGTGTACAACGTCCAACAAATCTTGGGTAAAGTGTTGCTTCACGAATGTGGTAACGATTAGCAATCCAGCACAGGAAACGCTCCAGTCCCAAACCATAACCCCCATGGGGACAGGTACCATATAGGCGCTGGTGAAGAAATAATCATCAATATAATGAAGACAAACAGGAGTAAATTAATGTGTTAACTACATGCATAACTAAGAGGGAAAATGTTAGTGGATAATAACTTACTGCACTAACTTCTGGTTAAGTGACAACCAAACAGCAAGAAGAGTATGAGAAGTGTTCATCATCCATACTGTTCAGACACTGTTCTCAGCTCATCTTAGTACAATAAGTACATCCTTATTAAATTACTACATTTCTTTCATCTTTCCAAAATCACAGACAAACAATCCTCCACCCCTTACCCTACCTCCATGTACAAAAAAGGATTTTTTTAGTTACATATTCCCCACTATCAATCTTCCCTCAAGAAACACTTAAACAAATCTCTCTTAGTTTCCATTAATTCCTGGCACTCCATATTTATTCAGCAATCCTCTCCACTTCTCTAGCACCAACTCTCATATACAAATATATCACTCACCAAGACTTTTAACAGTCGTATAATATAAATGTATCGAACTGTAGCGTAAAATTTGGATAAGAAAAATCTTATAAGCAACGATCAAACAATGCCTTCCTATAAATCAGACCAAATGTTCAATGGAGAATAAGGCGATCCAAAACATATTTGCCAATTAAACCAGAAATTGATTAAGAGTATAAAAGGACCCAAATAATCCTCCCACTTTCAAATCTAACTGAATTTTTTTAATTTTTTCTTGCCAATCTCCAACCCATCATGCACTCCATATACCCATACCAAGTGAAAACACACTCATCCATTTCTCTAAAGTCTCTGAAATCCTACAATGTTCCACTGACTGTCCACCTCTATTATGTCTTAAGTTATCACTATTCAAAAAATTTGGAGTCTTACATCAATAGGTAAGCATTGTAACAAGCACAACTCATTACAGACTTATTGCTCACTCCATACTAACATACTTCCCTTTGTTACAATCCTAAGACTTCTGCTCATCTTGTTTCCTTGTACAATATTACTTTACTGTTAAGTTAAAAGTTTTTACATTTCCATCCTAACTGAACAATGCTTCCAAATACTTGAATTCAATCACACTGTCCAGTACTTTGCCATTCATTGTGACATTACACCGATATCATTACTTTGCTCTTTCCAGTATTAAAAATATTTTGTGCATATCAAAAGCACACTGGAGGAAAGAATAAAATGTTAAATAATAAAGAAAGATGAACAAGATCTTAAAAAAATAAGCATAAAAATTTTAACCTAACTAATTTCTGGTAATAGTTTAAGAACATTTGCTCATATTTACCTGATCAGTATACCAATAGTAAGGCTTAGGGTCCAAGTCACTGGCATGGTAGGCTTCCACTAACTCTGCATGGTCATACATCCTCATAGATCCTCCTACAATTTCTCCCACATTAGGCATCAGCAAATCAACCTAACAATAAAAAATGAAATTAAAAATAAGTCCTTTTGTGATGATGACGCATGAGCAAGATTTTCCATGTATTTACTGTATCTATAAAGAGACCAATAGAAACAACAAGGTCTAATGACTGAAAAAAGATGTATTCTCTTTATCACGACTGCACAGGTATTAAGATTCTGATCAACTCTTACAGAACAGCTCCTCACCTGTTACAAACAAGATTTAACCCATGAATCAAATTCTTAGCCCCTTGGTCACTTTAATATGGACACTAACATTTGACTGATGGCTGCACTGCTTAATATAGCCAAAATTTCATGGAAAATCTTTGACTCAAATAATCTGGAATCTCAAAGTCCTCCTTACAATTAGGTGATGTGGGTTTATAATTGTAGAATTTAATTGGATACTGGCAGACATTCAAGACCCAGAATGGATCTTATTTTTTGTTACTATTGCTGTTCTTCAGGCACATAAGCCTTGTGGATATCAAGTATTTCCTGAATATAAAAATTTAATTGGTAAAATAAAAAACTGAAAATTACTAGAGAAAGACCTTGTTGAAAATAAGACATTATAAATAAGTATACAGTACGTAATTTATTAAGAGCCAGGAGAAATGGTTTAGGTTATGAACAAAATGGCATTTCTGTGGTAAAGCACCCTGGATTAGGTTGTATAATTACAGTGCCCTAATAAATTATACAGGTATCTCAAGTTAACCAAGTTAGTTGTGCATATGAATATGCAAATGTTAACACTAAAAGAAGTAGAATTTGTATGGCAGATATAATATATTCAATTCACTAAAATTGCGTAACTTTAAATCATGAGGCCACAGATTAATAATTCAATACTCACTGCAGTACAAAACATAAAGGCACTGATAAATAGTGTTTAATAACCAAAAATTTTTTCCCTGAAGGCCTTAGGACTCACCGACTCAGTAAGGGATTTGTCGTCTTCACATCTGGACATGTAGAAGGCTTTGATGCCAGCAGGGAACCTATTGAGCAAAATTGGCCTCCCAATCTGATCAGTCATCTTTCGTTCTGGCATCTCTGGAATATCCTGTCAAAATAATGCAGGTACAGTATATTTACAGTTATGGAATACAAATTACTTTTGGACATTACAAATATACCTTGTTATACATTGTTGATGAATTAGAGAGATACAGCAAGACAAAACACACACACAACAGTTGTGAACTACTTTGGCTAGCTTTAAAGCAGAACAATTACATATTTCCTCCCCTGCATCCCGTCCCCAGTGTAAGTTTACACATCACTGCCACTTTCACATGATCTCGCATGTTTACAGTGAGTAAAATCTTACCAAAACCCTGTAGTTCAAATTAAGTGTTTTGAAGCTGGTGAACAAGCTGTTAACATCACCAGAGTGATTGGCCTACTCGTCTTTCAGTCATCATGAATGAGCAAAAACATATTGAAAACTGTAAATCTAACCAGCATCATTATACCCACCTCACCATACTCATAGTTGGAACCATCCTCCTTTGTGATGTTATGCTCCTTTAGGTACTTGATGGCATCAGAATATGGCATCCTAAGGAATGGTCTGGTAGGTGGCACAAACTCTGGGTGTAACTCCTTCAGAATCTGACCACCCACAGGATGTTTTAAAACTCTATCAGCCACATCACATACCTGGGAATGATTTATATTAATATTTTATACTGGTACCTTGAATTTAATTTAAAAGATTCTACTTCATTTAATTTTATAAAATTGATTTATAAATATGGATTGGACCAGTATACAGTACATCCTTTCTTATACAAATATGGTATCAGTAATAAATTTTCTTGCTGTTTAAGTCCTCAAAATACTCATCCAAACTTCTCCATTACCAAATAATTTTTAAAACATAAAACTACTATAAAGACTACCTTTTTCTCTCAAATATTTCTCAATTCCCAAAACTCACTTAAGAAATACGAGTACATCTCAAACATGTGTGTACCCAGACCGCCATCTTGATAAATCCAAACCAGTCAATCACCCAGACATTTTAATTCTAAGTACTGTACCAATAACTAAACTACTAACAAAGCTGAGCTGTCATTTTTTCCATTTATTGGAAGGGGGGGAAATAAAGTTTTCATCTTTGTCTGTTCATAAATTTCATTCTTTGACCTTTATTCCTAAGTTCCATGGGTTTCAAAGCACAAAGAGTACAGTATAATAAGCAGCTCAATAACTATAAAAAAGCATGTGCTGTATCTGCCGCTTCAAAAATTATACCCATGACTGAATGAAAATATTATGAGAAATTTCAAAAGTTTATAACTTTAATAAAGGTAAAAACTAACCAAATCTTCAATACGATCCAAAAGTTCATCAAATGTGATGAAGGCACATTCAGCTTCAATATGAGTGTAGGAAGCTAGATGACGACGAGTTCGTGACTGTTCTGCTCTATAAGACTGCTCAATACAAAATACATCACCAAAGCTGTTGAAAACCAAATAAAATTAATAAATTATGACTTAAATTAAAAAAGCTTGAATACATTTGGTCAATATTTATTAATAATAATGCCAATAACAATAGTGACTGACAGCAATATAAGGTACAAGTTCTTCCTCACTTTATGCATGCAAGATACATATTATTCGTTCTATATAACAAATCTTAAAGAGAAATACAGTACAGTAGAATCACGGTTATCCGGAGTCTGGAGAACTGGCATCAAAATGAAATATGTAATTATAAAAATTCCTCCAAAAGCTAGAATCATAAGTTTGAATACCATGTGCAACAGGGATGAGCTGCCTTATTTAATGCTATGATAAACAATAAAATTGATACATAGCATATTATAAAATACAAATGCACATATTTTATGTAAAAATATTGGCTCCTTTACACTAGAACCTTACTCTGGGTGACATGACCCATCTTAAGCCAAGAGGTCACCAGCTGACTCACAGATGTGAGGCTGCCACACTGTGCTGTGTGTATGCCATGACGTCACATCAGGAAAGAGTGCGGCCACACAATTATAGCTCACCGCCTCCATACACACACGCCAAATCTTGTCATTTTACTTATTTTATAGTTTTACATTATATTTTCTTTGTTTCTAAGCCACATGAGAATATTATAATGATTATTCCACAACTTTTATAGTTTCATTACATGTAACAATATATGAGGCGGCTGGGCTGGCAAGTCGGCAGTGCACGCACGCATGCATGCACGCACGCACACGCACACACGCACACACACTTAATTTTTCGAATTTTATACAGTACAGTAGTTTTATATTATATTTTATATAGAGTTAATGAAGTCAGTTTTCTGCAAATCCCATCAGTTTCATGTGAAATTAAATTTAAATTTTTTTTATTTTTTCTAAAATAAGCAGACAATCAAAAAAACATGGTAACTGGGGAACACTTATGAAAATACACAGATTTGCAGAAAAATGATCTGAAAACGAATTTGTGCAGTCAGCCTGTAGCACTGTGCACTAGGATTTATTGGAGGATCCTAATAGTAAGGTTCAACTAACTGGAAAATCTCTCTATCCAGCACCTCTTAATCCCCATAGGTGCCAGATAACTGGGATTCTATTGTATTTAACATATAAGGGATATAAAATGGGTGTGGCTCTATTATAGTGCTGTAACCACTATTTACTTAAGGTCACTGTACGTAAAACACATGTGGAAATCCATCTAGGAATATGTTAATCAAGAAAATATTATGGATCTATCCTGAAATCTCTTACCCAAGCAGCTCTCTTAACATTATACATCCTGTTAGAGACCATCCAAATTGACCTTTAGATCTGAACATAAGAATCGAGAGGGAAAACAAATGAGAAAAAGAAAGCACAAAAGAAACGGCATTAAATTATTCAGTTTTCAGCTTTAAAAATAGTTGGAGGTCCGACACTATTTAATAACTTTGATAAGATATAGAGACATAAAACAAAGCCTCATGATGGATGCTTAACAAAGTGTGCACAATACAGTGAACCCTCACTTTACACGGTTAATTCAACCCACGGCGGCCCGCTTAAAGTGAACAACATAACATATGGGATTAATTGAAATAGAGACCGGGCCGACCCCCAAACTCCACTTTTTCAGACACAATACCTACGTTGTAGTAAAAATAACTTAATTTTATGATGGCATGCACAAACAATTAATAATTAAGAGAAATATCAATAATATTAGGTTTTTTAACACTTACATTAGTAGAAAAGATGGCTGGGCACACGGGGATGGGGGGGGGGTTGGTTCCGAGGCAGAGGGCAGATTATTGGCCCTCACCTGTATCACTTGTATCAATTGTATCACTATCCACCACAGAGGCTTGCAGGGCCTCTTTGTCAAACCCCTCAAAGTCCATACAAGTCCATATCCTCACTATAATTATCACTATCATTGACTTGGGCCAGCTGTGGTGGGTGGCGGGTGAAGAACTCGGTAATGTTTTGATGACTGGGCGACCTTGTGCGCACCCTGCTCGTGCCGCTCTCCGCACAAAGGGGTACACGCACCGCGGAATGTGAGCATTCCGGTTTCGGCAGGGTACCGCGTAAACGCGGAATGTGGGACCGCGTAAAGCGAGGGTTGACTGTATAGTAATAGATAATAGAATTAGCAGAAAACAAATATTACCTTGGAAGGCACGTTTCAAGGTAAAGCTGGCTGGACTGTGTGAGATATGCCTTTTCTCCAAAGAAGTTAAAATCAAAGAGGGTTGAACCTCCTTCACACTGTGTTTGAACCATTGTAGGAGGTGACATCCACTCATATCCTCTATCACTGTAGTGGTCCACAAAGGCCTTCATTAAAATGGAACGTAATCGTAGAACCTAAGGAAAAAATAAGAGCTCCACATAACAGTCACATATTTACTATTTTCTTTTTATGATTTATAAAACACACACTCCAAATAATGAGATAATACTTGTAATACCAGTACATTCAGTTTTTCTTGAGAAACTGATGTCATCAAAATTTTATTTTCTCTTTAATCATACCAGCACAGCATATCAACAACTGAAAGTGTTAGCTATCTTTTTGTAACATAAGTATTTCCCAGTCATTTAATGCATAAATATACTAAGATTTTACGAGATATTGCAATCATGATTTTAATCCTGTTACATAAAAATACTCCAATGGAGCCACTAGTGTAGTAATCCAACAGAAATATCTCAGTTGGGAAATAATTTGCAGGATCCAGGAGAGAGGAGGACATTGATAAACCCAATCCAAGAAAAACCTAAACCTTTAAAAAGTAAAAGAGGCAAATCTTCCATAAACCTTAAAATGCAAGAGCCAACTTTTCAGTCATATGCATCACAAAAGAATTTTCATTTTCCTAGTAGATAACTAGGTACGGTATCCAGTGAATATTCATGCATAAATAATTAATCAGTCTTGAGTGCAGAGCAGTTGACAACCCAAGCTAAATTACATCTCCTGTTGTAGGAAAATTTAAAGTAAATCCCGTTACTGATAGGTCATGGGCAACTGTTATGCTCGCTCAATTTTCCCATTCAACACTTGTGATAAAAATCCCTTAATTTTCCCTCAACAATACAAAGGGAGAATAACAATCTCCAAATAAAAAAGAAAGTAATATTTACCCAGGAATAGTATGTGGAGAACTCAATAATGTATTCCTACAATTAAGATTAATGAAATTCAGATAAATCTGAGAGACCAAAAGACCTTTTTAAAAACAACTGAAAAGTTCAGCACTGTCTCTACTGGACCCTGCTCACGGGTGAATCATCAAGCATCATTGAGTCAGGCAAACCTGCACAACTAATCAGTTATTAATAACACCACCCATTCTGTAAAAGATAAAGGACTGTGTTAGCAGAACTATAATCATCAATGAATAACAAAGAGCAGAGTAATGTTTAGCCCTTTAGACAGCTCCAATCCCAAAGGAGTAAGACAACATGAGCAGTGTGGACAATTCTAAGTACAGTACTGTAGTAAGTTAAACTGTGAAGAGACTGAATTATTTGATTCAAATTTACCAATAAATGGTTTGGAATGAGATTTAGCTATCTCAGGACAAGAGCCCAGTAATCTTAAAGCGCTTTTAGAGCAACCACTATTCCACGAGTTTTAAACCCTTCTTCAACACTGGTTTATTGGGTAGAAGCAGTTGAATGAAATTAAGTGAACTAGTGTAACATCTCAAACCCCTTGGAATGGGTAGATCAATCAGGGGAGGTCTTCCAATTCTAAGAGTTTTGATATAGAAATAATAAGCTGCCAGTGCACTGCTACAAAAACCATGACACAAGTGACACATATACAGTAGGTCCCTCAAAATATAAAAAAGTATAACAACTTTTAAGGAAAAGGCAAATATTTATCTATCAAAAACCATACAACATTTCTAACTACTGTACACAGATTGACCACAGCAACTAGCACTGCAGATACAGTAGAAACATCATCACTAATCTCAAAAACATACCTTAGAGCAATTTTCACCCCTGATCATCAGATGGCGCTTATCCAACTGTACATCAGGGTTAGACAGTTGGTTTATCTCTGCCTCTGCACCACCTGCTGGCGATTCTCCAATAAGTTGCCAGTAATCCACCTGTAGTTCATGTCCTCCAGGTGCCTGGAAAAAACAACCATAAAAAAATTACAGGTAAGAACAAATTTCTTCCATTATCATTTATTTTTATTTTCAGTGGTGGTTAAGTAAACTACTGTAATGCAATTCCTAAGCCAGAATTAAGATTTAAAAAATAAAAATAAATAAATAACTATTCCTGCACTGTATACTAAATAAAGTACAGTACAGTATTTTCTTGATTTAACGAACTAATTCGAGCCACCCCTTTCAGTTTAATCGAATTTCCATTATTTTCGCTCGATTTAGCGAACTAGTTCACTATTTTGAGCGTGATTCCGTTAAATTCCACCACCTGGCACGTGGGGTTCGTTTACATCCGCTCAGTCTGTGTACTGCCGCCACTGCGTATGTTGCTCACTGCTACTTCTGTCAACTAATTACTGTGCTTAGATATCATGCCAAAAGTCTCTCAGAAGTTTCAGAAAGGAAGTGGTGTGGGGAAGAAAGTAAAAAAAGTGCAGCTATCAATTGGAAAAAAGTTTGAAAATAATCACCAAACCCCTAGTTTAAGGTAAACCATGAAAATTTTTTCTAATGTTCTATGTACATATCTTGTGTCTAAGGTGTCTCCATAGGTGTGAGCATATTAACAGAATTAATCTCAATTTAGCAAATTAGTTCACTAAATCGAGTGAAAAATAAAAGGAAAAACTCCTTCTGCCAAATCCAGAGTTCGTTACATCGGATTCCATTAAATCGAAAGTAAGCTGTAAACAGTGTCAAAGCAAATATTAGAGTGATGTATGACCTCGAAAATCATTTTGTAGAATTGGGGCGATAACTTTGGGTGAAAAATGATGATTAACAGTTATGCAAGACCACAGATGAGATGCTAAATTCTCTCTGGCAACTAACCCTGTTCATTCGGGTTATGATGCGTGTGCAATACAATGATCCTTTGCATATCTAGTACAGGGGGTCCCTGGATTACGAACGGGTTCCAGTCCCGAAGATGTTCTTAAGTCCAAACAAGCATACTGTACTTACAGAACAATGTTTAAAATCCCACTACGTATATCATAGCCTAAGTCCTTATATACATCTAAATTCACTTACCGGTAATTTAAGAGAAAAGAATAAATAGAATGAAAAAATACAGAAAATGCAAGTAAAAAATATGTTATCGGGTAAATAAAATACTGTACGTACTGTAAATTTAAAGTTTAACCACATTCGTAACGGCGGGCGTTCATAAATCGGGGACCCCCTATAATCAAATTACCTGTTATTATAAAATTATCTACATACTGACCTCTTTTCCTTCTGGAACTTCCTGAAGGATGCCATATAATGTGACACTACTCTCTGTGTTGAGGATTGCAGCTTCATATGTTTGACATAACTTGTCAGTTAAAACTGTTTGTAGGTAGCCGGTCCCATCACGAAGAACAATAAACATCATATTTTTGCCTGAAAGTAATAAGTCATGTTATACACTAAAAACAAAAATTAACAAAAATATGTACTGATAATATATATGTGAAATTATATACTGTACAGGTACTGTAGAATGATACCATAGCACTTATGTGAAGAACAATTAAATGAGGTGCTAATATAGATGAAAGTATTACAAGTCACCTTATAATACTGTACAATATACAGAAGAAAAAACAATACTGATATGATCCCTCAAATTTATCTTCAAAGTGTTCTTCTTATTGCTAATAGTTTCATAATAAAACAGAAGTAAATTTCTGAAGTTTGTGCACCCACAGGAGTAAAAAATCAACCGAACAGCTTGAACACCAAATCTGCATATAAGAAGCCTAGAAGAGTTCACGGCTCTGCTGGATGCAAATTGCTTTATCATCTTAAATTTGAGCGCGCCTAATCCTTAATTAATTCTCTCTTACCGGGAGAGCCTGTGACCAGATAGCTTCTCAAAATATAAACCTCCGATTATGGAATCAAGGTTGATACTTGCACTGGATTAATTTAAATAGGTATAAGATTCATTCTTGCCTCCATTACATCCTTCAGCCCAAACGAGTCAGAATTAGTGCAACAGCTTTTCTCTAGAAACAAGATCTTATAGTGCCTGTGCCTGAGCAACCAGTACACTCCATGCCAAAGGCAATGGCTAAATCATCCCATTCAAGGCAAATCCACCACCTTTAATTCAGTTCACAGCCAACAAAGCCATGAAACCCTGGGAGGTGGGAAAGTGTCCTAACCACCTGACCACAGATGGGTTCCACCTGAAAAGTGGTTTCAATTCTGCCTTTTCTGACTAACAGTCCTTGTGAAGTGCTTTCTTATACTGTACTGTAATCCCAAACCAGATAGATAAGCAGAAGATGCTACAAAAAGCTCAGGATCAGTGAGTGAGTGTTGAAAAATATCTGAAGATGTGTAATGAAAATTAAATGAAAGAATTTATGCAGACAAGGCATATTACTGGGCAGGAGACTGCATTTGATATGGGCAAGAATAAATAATTTAGGGTAGAAGGAGCAGCAAGATACTCATAAATACTATGACTCACCTTGTCTTCGTAGTCTGTGCACCCATCCATGAATTTTAACTCTTTTGGTACGGTAGTCTTTACTATCTTTGATCTTAATGCAGGCAGCAGTGGGTAAACTTGGATCCTCTGATATTGTCACTTTCTTGGCTTCTTCTAGCACCTTGGCTCGCTTTTCCTCATCTTCTTTTTCTTTTTTCAAACGTGCTTCACGTTTTTTGCACTCCTAGATTGGGTGATGCTTGCATTAAAAAAATATATTTTTATTGGACCTACAGTACACCCTTACATTCCTGCACAATACATTGTTGTAGGAAACCTGACAGTACTGTAAATATTTGAGGACAGTGGTGGCCCATGGTGGTTGGCCTGGCAGCCAGCTGTAATGCACAGGGGCACAAAATTCATGGTTTCTAAATTAAAACTTGGTCTAGTTTCCCTTCCAGCTGTGGCATCACTTTGGAGCTCTTTTACAGGAACACATTGCTTACTGAAATTCTAAAAACCACTGACTATTACCCTTAATCAATTATCCAATGATTCACTCACCATCCACAAGTGGTGCTGTATTTATATGTGGAAACACTAGTCAGCAACAGCTCAGGCTTGGTGTTGTTTTTAAGCTACATACTTGTTCCTGACTGTGCTGCTCACATTCATTGTTTGCTTCCTGATAACTTCTATATACAGTAAGTACATTCTAATGGCTGTTCCAAAGTGTTCTTCTACAACTATTATGGATGATGGTAATTGTAGTTACATTATTACCACCAATAAGAGTGGCAGAAGAAGATTTGTTTTTAATGTAATGTACAGTACAGTACTGTATGAATGTTATTTTCTAGTTCCTCTCCTTTAATTACACTACAGTACTGTGTTACATCTAACATTCATACATAAAAACCATTACATGTGAACACATTGGTGAAAACTTAAAATATTTTTTATTTTTACCGTACGGTGCTTATTTATGGTACCAGTATATCAAACAGAATACTGTACTTTAATTGGTGAATAGTTTTTGATAACCAAGAACAATTTGCTCATGTGTGCACATACCATGGAATTATTCATAGGACTGAATGCACCACTGCCTGCATCTGGTGTCTGTGAGAGATTATTTGGTGTTGCTGGACTAGAAATATTTAGTCCAAAGCAAACAAAACTTGATTGCAGAAACTTTGAAAGCCAACTGTTGTGAAGCTTATACAGTATGAAGTTTTGATACTAATGAAGTTTGTTGACCATGTGTCTATTGTTTTCATTCCTTAATGAATTATGTAATTAAATTTTATTTTATTTTCAATACTGTACTATGTTTGAGACTACATTTTACGTTTACTACATGAATGTGTTTTAAGGCATATACTTTTTTCCTCTTACTTAAGTACGGTATATACATTTCAAGTGATTTTTTTACTCTGCCTTAAGCAACTATTTGTCAAATTACATACTTATAAATTAACACACCTTTGAAAAAATTCAGTTATCCAAAACATCTATGGTCCCAATCATTTTGGATAAAAGGGGTCATACTGTAATATAATGTACTGTACTGTACTGTACCGTACACAGCAGCACAGCATGAAGAGATAATTTATTGATACACATATAGCAGATACAATCCTAGTATTAGCCAATCATTTGGTGATCTAAATATAACAAGAAAAAATTTCAACTTTAAACCTAAGACAAATACTGTATTCAATCACCATGTCAAACACCACATGCCACCATGACTGTCTCCAAGGCACAATATCAGTGACCTTCATACTATATTATTATCATACACAGTGGTCCCTCGGTTAACAAACGCAATTCGTTCCACAAAGTCGTTCGTTACTAAAAATTTTATTAACCGAATCTATGATTTCAATGGGATATTGGGTAATTGGTTGCAACTCACAGAAAAAGTACAGGGGGTATGCATACAAAGTACTGTACAGTATACCAGTAATAGAATTAACAAAACATTAAATATAAGCTAAATATAGTACTATACTGTACAGTATACTGTACAATAATAAATAAAAAACAATAGAATACAGTACTGTATTTTAACTTACTTTGGGGTGTGTATGTCATATTCCCGGCAGCTTTGTTTACATATCAAACACCTGATTGTAGAGGTAGTCGATGATGACATGCCATATTCTTTACAGAGTGCATTGGTTCTAATGCCTTCTTTGTGTTTCATAATAGTTTCTGCATTGTATATTATCAATATGTTAAATAAATTTCAGAATGACCAATAATTTTAAGGGAAAAATGCAAAAATATTCAAGAGACCAACAAACTGAATGTTCATTCCACTGTAAACAAAGTTAAACTAAGAAGCGTTGTTTGGTGATTCAATCAGCTGATTGGCACACAAAAACTGTTCCCTGTACTGTATATATTATCAATATGTTAACTAAATTTCAGAATGACCAATAATTTTAATATAAAAAATGCAGAAATTTTCAAGAGACCAACTTTCTTGATATTTACTCCACTGGAAACGAATGTAAACATAAAACCAATTACTGTATTGGCAGACTGGCCGATCAGCTGATGCGCACAACAAAATGTGTTTGTCGTAAGGATTTCGTTAATCGAAGTTTTGTTCGTTAATTGAACTGAAAATCCTTGCGGGAGCTAATTCGTTAACCAAAATTTTGTTAATCGAATTGTTCGTTAACCGACGGACCACTGTATTTAAGAAATCTTTTTTAATGGAAACAAATACAATACTTTGGGTAAATCTTCAGTTAACATACTGATTTAAATGGACATACAGGGAGTTCTGCTATAACGCGAATTTGCTCTAACGCGATTTATGAATTCGGAACAATATTTGTATAACGCGAACGCTTGTTTGCTATAACGCGATTTTTGCTTACTATTTCTCCAATTTTGTGGTATTAACTGTGAATATGGTAAAGAAGAATATCTCCAAAAAGCGCTCTGATGATAGAATTCCCGGTGATTATCGTAAAAGAAAGGATATAACACTTGAAGAGAAGCTCAATGTTATCAACCTCAAAATCACCCTTCTCCCCCATCAAGTTACATTCATATTTTTTCGAGGTAAAGTGTTAAATTTACTGTATGATTTCATTATTAGATATGAATGTAACATTTATTTAGACTGTGCTATCCTTTGTGTTAGGCTAAATACTAAATTTTTTCGATTTCGAGTAATTTGCACCTAACCCTATTTTCTCCATAAGCCCTGTTATTTCTATTACGCGATTTTCTATAACACGATATTTTACAAGAACACAATTATCGCGTTATAGCAGAACTACCTGTACTGTACGTACTCTTGTTGCAATCGGACATTTAATAATTAAATTTAACTTACATCTTTCCAAAGTTTTGTGAGTTTCTTCAACTGGCTTTTTGCAATTACTTCGTATGTCTGTAACAAGAAAAACACAATAAATAAAAAAAAATTAATAAAAATCAATTATCACTAGTGGTTCTCTAAATCTTTATTGGAAAATTCAACATTACAGGTATATTCAAAGATAACAATGAACAGTACTGTATATTTCAAAGAAAATTCTTCATGAAAAAATCACCACTTCCTTCCACTTACCTCATACAGTACAGTACTGTACTGTATGTACTTCCCTCTGGATTACCTAAATTACCCCATTAGCTTTATTATTAACATACAGTATACAGGGGATCTTCAGTATATATTGGGGATGTGTTCCAGAAAAATGCGACAAAGTGAAATGTTTTATAATGAGGAAATTTCCCCCATAAGAATTAATGTAATTAGGGGTCAATGAATTCCAACATGTACAGTAATACTCTTGAAAGCTCTGGATGTGTTTCTAGAATGAGCCTTCAGCAAATCAGCTTACAATAGGGTCATTATAACTTACTGTACTGTATAGTACTTGATATGGAGATAAAGTCCTAACAACATTACTGTAATTGTTACCTTTAAGTGATACATCATGGCTTGATTTGGTTACCGGTACTTGTAAATAAGACAATTGTTAATAAATAAACCAGGGTATTTGCAGCTGCATAATGCACTACAATATTATTTATAAGTGCTGAAGACAGATGTTGTGGTAAGCATGGCCACATAGTAAGGGACAGTGTGGGCAATTGGCTGTTTGTGCTGCCACTATATGATGCAATACCTCATCTAAGGTTGAGTGTGGGTTTTTTCTTGGAAAATTTGATTATTTTATGATAATTTTTTATTAACCTGACACCACTTGAACCTAAATAATAATGTATGGGAATTATGGTGAAGTTGCATACTGTTGTTGCGGGCTGACAAGCACAGGTGAATTGCCCTCTCAAACCAGACATCACTCCCTCCCTCCTTCTCTCCCAGCTACACACCCAGATGTAATTTTGGAGTTTTTTTTTCACTCTCTTTACATACAAACCCTCCATTGTAAAAGAACTGAATAAGGTTTTCTAACACAGTATTTCATTTTTTGGTGCTGTAACACTTGTGTGATTTAAATGTCTGCGGTGAGTTATACAGTACAGTAGTCCGGCGAGCCATGATGTGTTGCTAAACCGCCAACTACTCTCTGATGCACTCCATCTCCCACACAGAATATACCGTATTCTATGGCATATAAGACACAATTTTTTTCTTTTGGAAAAAAAGAAGCAAGAGAAATGGCTAAAAAATTAGCCTGCATCCTATATGTGAAGTTGCAGTCTCCCGTATGCTAAATTCTATGATGCCCAACTCCAAAATTAAAAGTTTTATTGCTTATTTAAACACAACTCTTCAGCAGTTACCATTTCCGAACTCTTACAAGTGTTACTAGCTATTAATCATACCTGCAACATTTAACTTTAAATCTACAAAGACCTGATACAAATGAAGATTTACTGAAAATTTTCTTTTCACATTTGCATCTGTTAATATCACTGGCAACATTGTTGCCAAGTTAGACTCGTCACTATAGCCACCAGTCCAAGCTGTGAGGCATTATGTTTATTTTCAATTCATAATTTTGGGTAGATATACTGCATACCGGTAAATTTTTTTTTACTCTGTTATATGCATAGACATATTATGCCCTCCCAAAAGAAAAAGAGTTAAAAAAATACAGTAATTACCATAAGGCCAAACCCATAAAGGGAATAAATATTTCTTTGCACACAAGTTAGCGGGGTGGAGGGAGTGGAGTGTGTGGGCCCCTACTAACCGGCGTTGTTATGGCCAAGCAGCCAGTGTCTATGGCAGTTGTGTTTTTATTTTTATCTTATTGAAACAGTTGATTACAAGGGGATCACTGATAACTTGTAGCCTAATCATATGATAACTGGTTTAAAGGACAATTTTGGTAAAAACTATCCTATCTGAAAAACTTTCATTTAGCATTTCCTTAATGGTTTTAGCTGCATTTTTTCATTTAGATTGTATACAAATGTTGTTTGTAGTAGCACAATTGCTAATTAACATAGGAAAGCTAAGTGGTATGGTTTATGAATGCTTGGCACAGAATTTTCAATTTTTTTTTTTACTGTTGCAGGCCTACTCAATCTTACATACAGATTGTGCAAAAAAATATAAATAATAATAATCATACGGTCAAAAACATAAAAAGGAATAAACTTTCTCTGCGTGTTAAAGGGGGGGGGGGTGGTATGAGGGATCTCAGCTGTTCTGAGCTGTCTCCCCTGCGTAGTGGAAATATTGACAAATTTTGTTGTCCAACAGCCAAATGGAATATATTTGTCGTTTTCTTTACTATTTATTGGTTTTTCATTTACTCCTCACATTTGCTGGAAGTGTAAATATTATTTTAAGAAAACTGTGGCTACACACAAAAGTTTTTCCCTAAATACTACTATTCTCTGCTGAAATGGGGGGTGCATCTTATATGCCATAAAGTACAGTCAGTCCCTACGTATGAGTTCCGTTTCTATGGACGTTCTTAAGTCGAACCACATACCCTGTGTGCATACCGCACTTACAGAACATTGTTTAAAATCCCACTATATGGCAACAAAGGGTATATGGACCAGCAACTATTCAACAGATTAATTCCAACCACTAATTGAGTTTACCTGGGTCTTTAACCCAACTGTGAGTATATTAAAGTATTGTACAGTATATCCGAGAAGTCTGGGTTCAAGAAATAGGTAGTATCACAAACTATTTCATAATTGTTCAAAACAAAATTTAATCATGTGTTTAATGTATAGTACAGGCATCCCCGCGTTACGGAAGGGTTGCGTCCCTGGAAAATTGACCGTATCACAAAATTCCGTAATGCGAAACCTATTTTCCCATTGACTTCCATTATAAAACTGGAGATGCGTTCCTAAGGAATTTTTTTTGGTCCCAAAAAAGTAATTCAAGCACTTTTATGAATGAAAATAAACATTTATAAGCACATACAATACAGTACATCAAATCATTTATGATATACCTTCTTAAAACATCAAGTTTAATATCCAATGTAATGCCTTTGCGGTTTCTTTTTGCACTACTGCGGTCACTTCCACTTGATAGCCTCTTTCCAGTCATCATGAATAAGGGTAATGCACAGTACTTACTGTATGTTTGTAAAAGTTAAATCCAACTGCTGGGGCGAGAAACATGCACACACACACTGGATGTAAACAATGGAGTGACTCCGTGTGGCGACGCCATGCTTGGCTATAGCAAACACCAAGAAATCCACACCAAACAAATTATAATCTAAAAAATAAATAAAATTTATATAGTGATTTTTTTTAATTGTTAAAATTTACCCCAATTCCAATTTCCGTAAGGGCGGATTTACGGGCCGTATCGTGAAATTATTGGTCATAATTTACAAATTCCATAAGAGCGAAATTCCGCAACCCGCGGTTCCATAGCGCGGGGGATGCCTGTACAGTATAAACAGTACAGCATACAGTACTACTGTACTAAGTTTCACTGCATAGTAGAGTAATTTAATCTTAAAAAAGATTACAGAATGCTTGCAATTCTAGTTATCCAATAGCCAAATTACCATCTCCTCAGGCATCTGGACAAGCATAAGTACAGTGTCATGAAAATCCACAACCTAATAAGGTTTTCCAATGTATTTTGAATTTTTTTAATCACAAGCCAGATTCCAAAATCAGTATGTGTGAAACTTAATTATTATTTAGCAAGTTGTTCAAGAGTATTTAAAACTTCATATACTGTATGCTAAATTCAATAACATCAACAGATATTTATCCTAGCTATGGGAGAAAAATAACTTTAACCAAAACCTTAAGCATAGCACTTAAAAATCCCAGGTGGCAGCCTCTGCAGCCACAGTAAACACCAGATGCAAAAAAAAATTAGAAGACTCTTATCAAGCATTACCTAGATCAATCTCTCACGTTTCAAGAAAATATATGCAAAGCTCTTTGCGAAAAGCTGTACCCCTGTACAAGCATACACACAAAAAAAACATTACTTTTACTCAAGCTGGTCCTAACCCAGTTGATCTTAAAACTACTTGCCCAGCGTGAGAGAACAGCACAGTACATAACCTTAACCTGCCTTGAGTACAACACTGCATCATGGAACAGCAAATATTGCCAAATTTAAATTCTTCTGAGAATGTCTATACACCAATCAAAATAAAAACAAGGTACAATTGGCTTTATCAAGAAATATGTAAACAACCAATTACAGTTAATCATACAGGAAAAAGTTAAAGAACTGCATTCTTTAGACAACCAAATTCTATAATTCAACATATCAATGTAACTCTCTGTCTGCCTCATATATACAGTACATGTACAGTACAGTATAAGTAATATCTCCGTTAGCCGGAATCCCTCAAACCCGAAACTCTTCAATAGCCCGAATTTTAATTTTCTCAGAAAATCGCCCTCAAAGCCACAATTTTCCAGAAAATTCCAGCTTTGGAAACAATTTTCCGAGGCACACATTTTCCAGAAAATTCTGAGAACATTTTCCCGATACCCAGAAAATTCAGGGGATGGGGGAATTTTTTTCAGGGTTTGAGAGATGAAAATCAGGCGCATTTCCCAGAAATTCCGAGAAAATTTTTCCGGTACCCAGGGATGGGGGATGTTTTTCTGGGTTTGATAGATGATACAATGGCCAAATTTCTGGAATTTCCAAGAACATTTATCCATTACCCAGAAAATTCCAAGGATGAGGGATTTTTTCCGACTTTGAGAGTCGTCGTTACCTGGAAATCTCTCGTTCCCGGAAGTGCTCTGCACCGATTGTTCCGACTAACGGATATATATATATATATATATATATATATATATATATATATATATATATATATATATATATATATATATATATATATATATATATATATATATATATATATATATATATATATATATATATACCTGCAATGAAAGCTAATCTACTTGCAGATTAATATAAATACTGTATTCTCATATTTACCTGTGGTAGTCTGGCATCAGGTAGGTTGAACTGACTAAGAATACCAAGATCTGTTTGTGGGAAATCCTTTGAATCAGAGCCAAAACTTTGAATATGCCTCCACCATCTCACCAAATGTGGATACAAAGGTGAAACGGGGCCATTTTGAGAAGGTGATAATCCACTCGTACAGACATGTACCACAGCATCAGCCTGGGTGGGTACGTGGCCAATAATGTAGCTTGACTGGCTTAAATGTTCATCTAATGCTTGTAGACATTGGGTTAGGTCAGCTTCAGTGCTGCCTGACACCACATTTACTCCCTAGAAGAAAATACCATCCAACAAACACTGGTCTTGAAAAATCTATCGGCAAACCTATTGTTTTCCAACTACAGGTACGGGTATAACAAATAGATTTCTAGTCTTAACGATTATAGCATATGGTTCAACATCCAATTCAATCCAATACCAATGTGTGTACTGTATTTTACAGTGCAGGTTTTTTGGATGCACTTGTATGTTTAATAAGCAGTCTTCCCCAAATGACAGTCGCACTCAATTACTGCACACTACTGTACTTTACACATTATCAATATGGGGGAAAAACTCCAATACCAAGAAACTAGTACAGTAAAGCACTCCTTACCTGGCCTTCTTCCTTGCCATCCACATATATTGTTGGGAATGGCTCTTTACCAGCTTTCCGCATTGCCTGAAGAGCAGTCTTGTATGGCTTATCTGGAGTTCCATCACCAGTGTCGTCTGACCCCAACTTGTCAGATGTGTAAATTTCTCCTGTAATGAAAGTTGACACAGTTTTTATGTTCCTGATCCAGAAGGTTTTGTATTAAAATGAGATATAAAATTATGGAAGTGCAACACTGACATAAATTAACCAGAAGGGAACATTTATAAATCAAATCGCCCAATTCCCATAATTTTATTAAACATTTGATATCATTGTAAATTAATAGCATACTTCTAAAATATATACAGTGGTCCCTCGTTTAACGAACACAATTGGTTCCACAGTCGTTCGTTAACCAAAATTTCATTAACTGAATCTATTATTTCAATGGGATATTGGGTAATTGGTTCCAACTCACAGAAAAAGTACAGTCAACCCTCGTTAATTCGGACCCCTTTAATCCGGATTTCGGATAATTCGGACGAAATCTGAACTAAGCGAGGGACTGTCCGTATCAAATTTCTGGTTCTGGGATTGTCCGATAGATGGCGCGTGCGCGCCAGACTGCCAGTCATTGTTGACTTAGCGCCATATTCGAGTATCAGTGTTGTGTTGCCCTGCTATTTTCGTTGATATTTCAGTGAATAGGCATCTTTCAGCCTTGTATTTTACATCTTGTCTTCAAGGGGGAGTACCTCTAATATGCCAAAGAGAAGTATGTGACCCTTTCTGTGAACCAGAAACTGGAGCTTATAAGGAAGTTAGAGGCTGGTGCTTCGGTGGCTAGAGTTTGTGACGAGTATGGTGTTAAAAAGCAAACAGTTCCGGACATATGCAAGGCTAAGGACAAACTCACTGCATTTTCTTTTAAATATAATGCAATATTATGCAATATTAACCCCTAAATCGGTTAATTCGGACAATCGGCTAAAACGGACACCCTTCCCCCCTATTAGTCCGAATTAACGAGGGTCAACTGTATAGACAAGGTACTGTATACTCGTAATGTAATGGAATTAACAAAACATTAAATAGAAACTAAATACAGTACTGTACTGCACAGTATACTGTACAACAATAAATAAAAAACAATAGAATACAGTCTCTCCTCGACTTACGATGGGGTTCCATTCCAACGACCAGGTCGTAAGTCGAAAAGGCGAAAATACATAGAAATTCTAAAATGGGTCTCTCTTTTTCTTCTCAGCACCACGGGAACTCTCACTTTTACGCTTGCCAGCCACTTTAAAAGGAATTACAAACTAAAAAATTTTCAGTACACAGTGCGATCACTAACGTCGGGATTCGAAAATACGTAATTTGAAAAATATTTTATACGACCATGGCAGTCGTATGTCCGGGTTGTCGTAAGTCGAATATGTCTTAAGTCGAGGAGAGACTGTACTGTATTTAACTTGCATTGAGGTGTGTATGTCGTATTCCCAGCAGCTTTGTTTACATATCTAACACCTGATTGTAGAGGTAGTCGATAATGACATGCCGTATTCTTTACAGAGTGCATTGGTTCTAATGCCTTCTTCATGTTTCATAATTTCTGCACTGTATATTATTAATATGTTAACTAAATTTCAGAATGACCAATAATTTTAATGTAAAAATGCAAAAATATTCAAGAGACCAACAAACTCGATGTTCACTCCACTGTAAATAAAGTTCAGCTGAGAAGCATTGGTGGGTGATTCAATCAGCTGATGGGCGCACAAAAACTGTTCCCTGTACTGTCTATATTATCAATATGTTAACTAAATTTCAAAATGACCAATAATTTTAATATAAAAAATGCGAAAATATTCAAGAGACCAACTTTCTTGATATTTACTCCACTGGAAACGAATGTAAACATAAAACCAATTACTGTATTGGCAGACTGGCCGGCTGATGTGCACAACAAAGCACGTTTTTCGTAAGGATTTCGTTAATTGAAGTTTTGTTCGTTAATCAAACTGAAAATCCTTATGGGAGCTAATTTGTTAACCGAAATTTCGTTAATTGGACAGTTCGCTAATCGAGGGACCACTGTATACAGTGAACCCTCACTTTACGCGGTTAATTCAACCCACAGGGTACCGCAGAAAGTGAGAAACGCGTAAAGTGAACAACATAACATATGGGATTAATTGAAATAGTGACCGGGCCGACCCCCAAACTCCACTTTTTGACGACACACAACTATGTTGTAGTAATAATATTATCTTAACTTTATGATGGTATGCACACACAATTAATAATTAAGAGAAATATCAATAATATTAGGTTTTTTAACACTTACATTAGTAGGAAAGATGGCTGGGCACACGGGGATGGGCGGTTGGTTCTGAGGCAGAGGGCAGATTATTGGCCCTCACCTGTATCACTTGTATCAATTGTATCACTATCCACCACAGAAGCTTGCAGGGCCTCTTTGTCAAACCCCTCAAAGTTCATATAAGTCCATATCCTCACTATAATTATCACTATCACTGACTTGGGCCTTCTGTGGTGGGTGGCGGGTGAAGAACTCGGTAATGTTTTGATGACTGGACTACCTTGTGCGCACCATGCTCGCGCCGCTTACACAACATGACGGATGGCGGGAGAGGGCGGGAGGTTTGGATCCAAAAATGGCGCGGCTCGCCAGCCGCTCTCCGCGTAAAGGGGTACACGCACCGCGGAATGTGAGCATTCCTGTTTCGGCAGGGTACCGCGTAAACACGGAAACGCGGAATGTGGGACCGCGTAAAGCGAGGGTTGACTGTATTGTTAGTGTCTAATACCTCCAAATGTGGAAGGATTTTGAGGTATGAATGTCTCGGAAACCATTTAATTTGTTTTTTACCCTTTAAGATGGGTGGCTCAGGTGTGTGTTTTAGTTTTTACATGAACAACTGATAAATGATACTGTACCAGTATATAAATCAGTCAAGCACAGTTAGGCCAGAAATTCATGGTCCAGCCAAGGTGGAGAGCACGGAACCCATCCCACCATTATTGTACTGAACTGCAAGTCACTGTCTAGACACCGCCTACCACGCAAACGAGCACAGTAGTAGTTTAATAATTGGTTTATAGCCATTTTAACTCTGTAGAAGGACTTAAGTAAACATAATAGTATTATTGTTGGGGTAATACAGGGGATTTTTTTTTTTTATTCAACAAACCTACTGTAAAAAATTCCCATACACTAAAAACTATACAGTATCTGTTGGGGACCTAATGCTTTGCGTAAATATAGCCTAATGTTACAGAAGGATGTAACATGATCCTGAGAGTTATTCAGGCATCACGTGATTTATCACATGGGTCATGTGGTGTGTAACGGTTTTCACTCAGTCACACCATGGCAAATCCTTTAGGAATACTGTATAGTGTATGCTACAAATCCACACACTTTAAATAAATTAAAAGCAATAATCACTGACACAATGAGCAATTTTCCCCACGGTAAATTTACGGTAAATTTGTATTTTCAACCAATAAGGCTCACGAATTGGACAGTACACTACTGTGTTTTTCCAATGGTTTACACAATTTAGTATTACTGTATTTCACTTGTTGTCACTAAACTAACTTCGGGAATTTTATAGCTGCATTCAGTAATTTTGAGAATTCTATGATACTTTTCTTCAATGGCATTTCTGGCTTTCATTACGTATAAGCAAGACATCTAACATTTTATTATGTATGTGTGTATGTGGTGGTACACACCCACCCAGAACATCAAACGACTGTGGAGCCCCCAGGTTAGGTTAGGTTAGATTTCATTAGTTAGGTTAGATTCAAACTGTTTTTCTGATAGTTTGTGTGTTTTAAACACATTTTACCTTGATTTTTTTTTTCTAGCAAATCCCTAGATTCTAAGATGGGTCGGACAGGGGGCTTATCTTAGAAATTATTGATTTTTGCCAGAAATGAAGGTCTAGTTCACTCATAATATATAAAAAAAATCATTGGAAAAATATAAGTTTCAACCTCGATTTCATTTAATGGCAAAAAGTGAAAATTAACCAAAAATTTTAAGGTATTATTTTAGTTTCGGTCATCCGGATAATCTTAAGAATTTAACTATTGGAAGCCCCCCCCCCCCCATTAGGTTAGACATAGTTCCTATGTTCTGCGACTCGGTTAGGATGGTTAGGTTACATTAGGTTAGGTTACATTGTATATCCAAATAGAGGAATGTCCGAACCTAAATTTTACCTAAATCAGAAAGAATGCCGGACAAATAAAGGAAGTAAATAAAGGTCCTTTACCTGACAAATAACCATTGCCTACACTGAACGAAACTACAAAATTCAGTAATGAAGAAATTATGACGATTTATGATAGATAAATATATACGCAAGACCAAACCCAGTGCTTCTAGGAATACGAGGGGATCCCTACACATGAACCATGCGGCGGTCGACAAAATTAAGAAAACCCAGAAATTCAAGACTTGGGTTGGGTCAAACGATGAGCAAGACAGGAGGATGTATGTAAGAGCCAGAAACCAAGCAAAGATAGAGTGTAGAAGGGCTGAAAAGGAGTTCCAAAGGCTGGTTGCAAGCGAGGTCAAGTGAAACCCAAAGGCGTTTACCGCTATGCAAAGTCCAAATTGAAAACGCGAGTAGGAGTATCAGACCTGAGGCTTGTGGATGGTAGTTACAAGATTCTGACCAGGATAAAGCTGAGGCATTGAACAGCTTCTTTTCCTCGGTGTTCACAAGAGAGGACGCAACTAACCTTCCTGCGTTTGAGGACAGACGGTTCGACACAGCACTGACCCACATTGTGTTCACAGAAGAGGGTATTAGAAATAAACTGTCCAGGCTAAAGGTCCATAAGAGTCCCAGCCCAGACATGGTGCATCCTAGAGTGCTAAGAGAGTTGTGCAACGAGCTTGCAGAGCCCCTGAAGATCCTGTTTTGTAAATGCCTGGATGAACAAATGGTCCCCAGTGAATGGAAAGTGGCTTATGTGAGTCCTATCTTCAAGAAGGGCGATCGGCACTCCACAAACAACTATAGACCGGTGAGCCTGACCAGCATAATATGTAAAGTACTTGAGAGTATTATCAGAGATGCCGCAATGGAACATCTAATACTAAACAGTCTTGTAAAGGATTGCCAACATGGTTTTATGTTGGGGCGCTCCTGCTTAACACAATTGCTCAAGGTATTGGATACTTGGACCTATATTCTGGAACGGGGTGGTAATACCCACAATATTTACCTAAATTTTGCCAAGGCTGAAAATCAAACTGGAAGGGTACGGAATTCAGGGAAATATCCTAGCATGGATAGAAGATTTTCTACATGACCGCAAGCAGTGTGTGGCGATTAATGGCATGAAATCGTCATCCATACCTGTCACAAGTGGGGTACCACAGGGCAGTGTATTGGGCCCGCTGTTGTTTGTTTGTTTCATAAATGACATGCCTGACATTGTACACTCCTCCACACAAATGTTTGCAGATGACACTAAGTTATTTCGGGAAATTAAGAACCAAGCTGACTGTGAAGAGCTGCAGAAGGACTTCTGTGGGCTCCAGGAATGGTCGAAGGAATGGCTGCTGAGATTAAATGTCACGAAGTGTAAGAGGATGCACCTGGGGCGTACCAATGGTAAGGAGGCGTATCATATGTCCCAATGGGATGAAGAAACTGCACTAGTTGAGACTGAATGTGAGAAGGACCTAGGTGTGTATGTTGACAATGAGCTGAAGTTCTCGGGCCATTGCAAGAAGGTAAACCAGGCAAATAAATTATTGGGTCTCATAAGAAGGTCGTTCAGATATGTAGACGGTCCGTCCCTCGTAACGATCTTCAAGAGTGAAGTGCTTCCCCATCTGGAGTACTGTCACCCCGTCTGGTCCCCGAGATATACTAGGGACTGTCAGTTGGTTGAAAATGTTCAAAGGAGGGCCACCAGACTGGTGCCTACACTTCGGCACCTCAGCTACACTGAGAGATTGGAGAGCCTGAACTTGCCTAGCTTATATTACAGACGGGCAAGGGGTGACCTAGTTGAGGTGTATAAGCATCTCAGGGGGCACTACTCAGTCGAGTGTCCTTACTTGGAGCTGGCGGAAGCTCGCCCCACAAGGGGTCACAGCTCAAGATTGAAGAAGCCGCAAGTCCAGAAAATTGTGAGGGCAAACTTTTTGAGAGTGAGGGTTGTAAACTCTTGGAACAATCTACCAGAGAGTGTTGTGACGGCACCGAGTGTGAGCTCTTTCACGACAAGACTTGACCAACACTGTAGCAGGTTCAGGTACATTCAGGAGCCAATGCATGCCCAGTATTTGCCAACAGTGCGTGACAGATGTGACCGACCGCCCGAGAGGCTAGGGGGCCGATCTTTTGGTGAAGAGGATAAATGAAAAGGAAAAGTAATCAGAGACGTGACCGATCGCACAAGCGGCTAACGAGCCGATCAGTGGTGAAGAGAATAAAAGTAAAACCACATAAATACAGAATGTTCCCCGTTCAAGCTAACACATTTTAACACATGTGGCGAGGCGAGGAAATATAATCGGTTTTGATGTAATAACTTCGAGAAACTATAAGATATACTGACCTAAACTCATCTCGTTGATCTTTTCAGCAGTCTGATCTGTCATCCTGTGCGCTCCGTTGGCATAGGAGTTCACCAAAAGTAGTGTTACACCTGAACCAACACGGACACTATCTCCCTGTCGTCTGAATACACTCCTGTTCGGGGCCCGCTCGGCGGCTCGGGCCGTTGCCTTACCCGAGTTCCTAGCCTCAGCTGATGTAATGACAAAACTCCTGGTGTAAGCGTTCTCTAATTTTTTGTATTAAAAACATAGTTAATTATGATAGAAACCTGTAAGAATTTCTCTGTTTATAAGTAAATAAATAAATTGATTCAATACATGATCAAACGGGAAGAATTATAATAGATATTATACGCGTGTTATTTTTCGTTTAGATGTTGGTCTTGGCTTCGTCTTCATTTAACTTGTAATACGTACGATGAATATTATTAATTTCTGTGTAAATGCGGGATTCTGGTTGCTATGGTTTATTTGATACATTTTATCTTATGTACTTAATTATAAATTATTTGTTAATGTTTCCTTGATACACAGTAACGGCAACCTTTGAAACATGTTATCTGATTCAAGGCGGGAAAATATTGTACGGTAATACAAGGCAAGTTCAGATAATACATCATAAGTTTTCATCATAATTTCGCTGAAATCGGATATCTTTTATCTATTGCATTGGAAATTTCTAACAATGAATGATAAAGGAAATGTACTCAGTGACTATGCGGGAAGAGAAAGTAGGTTCTTCACGATCGTGCTCATCTTCATTACGTCATCTGGAACCATGTAAAGGTACAGAGCAAAACTGATCATGTTTTTCTTTTCTTTTTTTTTTACACATCCTGTAGTTTTGGGGCTATTTCACGAAACTTACTTTATTAAAGAATAAACTTTATTAAATAATTATGTACCGGCGTAGGATTCGTCTGTAGGCAGGTTGCAAGATCTTTTTGTTTCTCATAATTCGTACTCCCCTTCCTCTTAAAAAGATTGCACCGGGTCAGTTTGGGATTAAACGGGGTAAGATGGACAAGTTTAAATAGCAATAATAAAGAAGAATGTCACTTTGTACCGCACCGGTGACCTACCTTATTTACCTAATGGTCACCCTAACTAAAGATGATGGCTACGCACCAGTAGAGCCACATTGAATGATTAGGTAATATATATTAAAGGAGAGAACTGTTAGTGATATCTTTATACGTGGATAACACCCTACAAAAATTTTTATAATTTAGTCAAGAATCAATCAGATTAGATTTCAAGAAAAATGCAAGAACACAGCAACCCAGAATGTTGATTAAACATGTCCTAGTAATGAGTAGAATGGGACTATATAATTGGATGGGGAAAGTGGAAAACTTAGATAACGACAGTTTTCAATCATGTTATCACTCATCAGGAAAATTGAAGGTGACAACAGATATGGGAAGCTGTTTGTGGTAAGGAATATCAGCAAGACAAATTGGAAAAAATCTAAAATACTGTATCCCACCATCGGATGCTACTACAGTACTGTATATGGTCTACCAAGATATTTACAGTGCAACGTCCATTAATCTAACCTAACCTAGGGTAGGTTAGGTTAAGTTAGGTTAGGTTATGTTAGCTTAAGGTAGGTTAGGTTAAGTTAGGTTATAGACGCTACAGTGTAAATATCCTGGTAGATCATTTTAATTCTTCTTTTAAAATATCTGTATATGTCTATGTAACAAATTCGGAAAATATGTACAGTACCTCTCCGATTTCTCTTTAAAAATGACGTGGAATGCACTAAATTATAATCCCCGTTGATAGCTTACTATAGTGCAGGGTGATTTGGTGTTGCGTTGCTAATAGTGATTATAATCCAATTTGATTACATGCTCTTGAAAATGTCAATTATAAGTAATCGTGTTGTATATATATATATATATATATATATATATATATATATATATATATATATATATATATATATATATATATATATATATAATTTAAACTACAGTGTATCACTTACTGTCGCTGGCAGGGACGGAAGGCAAATACTGCACTGTAAACTTAGGCAGTAGGGATAAAATATTACCCACCTCAGCTACCAGGAAGGAGCTGAGAGAATAAATCCTGAGACTGGCTTAAAGTCGAATTTGGATTATTTTAATGTCACTAAACTGACATGTCTGTCGTCTTTACTAAGGACAAAAAGAGTCCCGTAGATTATTAGCTTTTTTAGTAAATAAAAATCATATTTCAACTGTCATGAGTCCAACAGAGGCCCAAAAGCTTTCACGTGAAGCTTGACACCTAGCAGAATGCTCTTATTTTCAATGATTATTTTAGTGCGTCTGTCTGGTGCAGCTACTTTAAGAACGGACTGATAACACAATTTTATTTTATTGTTTGTCATTTTACCACTTATCAACTTACTAGCCTTTCGGGTGCTTTGCCTGTTCCTTGTTACGGTGTTATGACCTTTATTGTCCACTGTTAGTACTGGTGGAAGCAGGAGTGCCGGGAAAAAGACAGATGTTTGGTAGTCACACTGGGTAATAACCCTTCTCATATCTGTCCCAGGCCGGCAAAATAACCCAGGACACAACATGAGAGGTACGGCTTGTAGCTGCCAGGCAAAGCGTAACTCGCATTATTATCGTTGATGTCATATTATATCCTTGTTGTTATACCCTAGTATAGCATAAAAAATATCTAACAAAATGCAATAATCTTATCTCAGGAGATTATCAGCTGTATTTAATCACTGGCTGGCAGTCACCAGAATAACTCTTCACCCGGTACAATGAGGGTTTTTAGACCAAACTTGATAATGTATGTAAAGGTTTCTTATACGGCGTCTTCGTGGTGTAGATTAATATGATCTTATTCTTTTCAATTACTAATTTATTTTTACTCTAATTTTTTCGCCCCCTATATAGGCCCTGTTGTAGGTCGATGACCTGTGCCCGGGTGGGCTATTCCCAGCAAAACACGTGCACACACACACACACACACACAAGCCCTTGACGATATAGCTTACACAGGTTCCAGACCAGCTGAACTGAAAAGACATATTCGCAATTTTATAGAGCAACTTTGTTAGAATTTGTGAAAATAGACAAATTAATTGATGTAATGCGTTCCACAATGAGCGCTCGAGAAATGATAAAACAACAAATTATTCTCTCTTTGGATATTTACAAACACATGATTTCATAGTAAAACAGGGAACAAGGAAAATATATAGCAATTGGCGTGAGGAGAAATTTTATGCTTCGGGGTTCCGAGGAGGATGACGGGTCTTGAAGAGGTTGTGTTCCACTTTCTCCTTGAACAAATCGGATAGTGAAACACAAAGTAGTGTTGTCTGACGAGACTTCTACAGGTATGCTGTATCATATTTCACGGGGTACATTATTAACGCTACTTTTAAGTCGTGGGTTACGCTGAATCAGATGCACTATTGAAACGAGAATAATATAGAGAATTAATGCATATTTTTACATTAATTCAGAAATAACAAATAAATACCTAATTACAGATAAATAAATTTCAAAATGATAACAGTAGACAAACATTAAATCTTACTATTCATAGTCGTATCGCTTGGCATACAAGGAAGATACAAGGTACATACATACTGTATTTAGCTCGCTTCGAAATTACACATAAGAATATCCACCTTCTAAATCAAATCTGCCTTTCTCACTTGCACTGTAATTAACGTAACTCAGCTAAGATACTACACTTAATAAAATCATATGCAAATGCGCATTGATTCAGCTTTTGTACACATTGCAAGTACTGTAAACAAATAATATTAAACAGTAAGGAGGTTCAACCAAGGATAACCCAGAAAGCCGAATACATTACATATGGGGATACCCAATTGGATACTAAAAATTTACTATGGTCATCGATTCAGTTAAATATCAGATGAAAACTATCGAACTGTATATGGCATCAAACCAACTACTGCTCAAGAACCGTTCTAATTTAGTTTGTATCCAAAACAGCGTAGTATGAGTATCTATGAAGGACGGCGTCTTCGTACACTATATTTGTTGCCAAAATTACTCCAGAACAGACTCAGTTGAGAGGAAGAAAGAGCGAGAGAACAAGAGAGAGCGAGAGCAAGAGAGAACCTTAGCAGCCCCAGCAGCAAGACGGTATAAAGCAACATTGTACGCGGACTGCTTTCCACCCCGACCGCCTCACACTTCCTGCTGCCTTGCACTTTCCTTTTCCTAATCTGTATTCAACTAGGCCAGTTATACTGTACCTTCACGATGTTCACTTTCTTCTCTTTACTCCCTCTTAAGAGTAACATGGACATGTACACAGAGATAATCCTACACCCTTTTCTGTTTTTCATCACTGCGTATACCTATTTAGTTTAACAGCAAGATTTTCAGTTTATCCTCGTATTAATGTCAGTGGGAGTGATAATATTCATTCACACACAATTGCGGATTAGGGGCGCTGGTGGTAGAGCGGTACCGTTCTTGCCTCGCAAGATGTCACGGGTTATTCCCGGGCCGGCGGAAGTTGTTTGGACACTCTTCCTAGTCCCCTTAGTCCCTGTTCACCTAGCAGCATAGTAGGTACCTGCTGTAAATCGAAAGTTGCCAATTCGTATTCAGGGATAAGTTGTTGGAGCTTCCAATAACTTGCTTAGACATAAACCATTGACTCTTCAGGCTTCTACGTCCTCGACTCTTCAGGCTTCTACGCCTTTAACTCATGAGACATAAGGCAAGCATGAACTTAGCATGCTTCCCTGTTGGGCGCTGTAAACGTTTCTGCGCTTCACCTTACACAAGGATGTAGGGGGGTGCCCAATAAATGAGAAAAAAAATTGCGGATTAATGATCCCTAATACACAGAATGTCTATGGATACAGATTGCATTGAAATTCCTGCCTCCGGACTCACCATACAGAAATAATTAACCACTTAATCACTTCAGTACATTTGATGCTCTGCATACTCATTTTGACTATAAAACCTCCATCTTCCGAACTTCAATGAGCAAGAGTGCAGAAGTCTAGGGTTAACACACATCCGCAATGAAACAAGACAAGCTGACTTCTCGGACGGCCTTACCACTAAGGACGTCACGGACATATTATATCAAGACCTGTGTGTGTGTGTGCGTGTGTGTGTGTGTGTGTGTGAGCAACTACTAGTTTGAGTGAGCCGTCACAGATGTGTATTGTGTTTCAC